ACGTGCCTAATTTGAATGGCATAGAGCCGCGACTTTCACTACCAGTTCCACCTCTGATCAATTCCCTGTGAGGGAGATGATTCCGTCTTATCTTTACCTCAAATTTCTTATTCCTCTTACCTTAAATCAGTCACTACATAATGCTAATGAGGGCTAAAGTAATCAAAGTTTGCATTTAACTACTCTCTGAAACTTGAGGGCTTGGTTCTGTTGCTTTAGACATGCTGACTAATCCTAGATTAAGCATAATTAGAAAGAAAGAAGGTTGCTCAGAGAAGGGAAGAGGCTGTATCATGCCACCTCAGGAGACAGTGTTAGACTTCTATCAGCGCATTATATTTGTCCAAACCAGATCAAGGCCTTCGTCTTTCTGACTTAGCTCACTTTACCAGTTATGTTCTATTTTATATAACAAATCAGGAGTTAACTGCATGAATATTAGTGCTTTATGTAGCCTTTCACAAGCATTGCTAAGAGGCTAATAATCCAGGGTGACAGTTGCTTATGTTGTGTTTTTTTACTTGGCAAAAACACTATGATCTCCATTTTACAGGTTATATGCAGGGCCAGAAGTAGATATCTGGAGCAGTGGTGTTATTCTCTATGCTTTATTATGTGGAACTCTTCCCTTTGATGATGATCATGTGCCAACACTTTTTAAGAAGATATGTGACGGTATCTTTTATACGCCTCAGTACTTAAATTCAGCAGTAATTAGTCTCTTGAAACACATGCTACAGGTGGATCCTATGAAGAGAGCAACGGTGAAAGATATAAGGTACCTTACAGCATCTGGTTCTGCCAGGGAGGCAGTAATCTTCTAAAAAGTTTTATTCAATTGTTGGCTTGGCGTTGGCTTGGTTGTTGTATCATATGAAGCCATTTTGTGATTAGGCTGAGTTGAATCAAAAGGGAGTTGGGCCAATACTTGAGTCCAATACACCCTGATGCCATATTTGTTTTAGCTTACTTGACGATTAGTCCTGTGTATGAATAGAAAACCTCTATGTCTTTATTTTAATTAAGGGCATGATGTCTTTGCATATGAATTGAACCAAATTGGTCTTTATTAAAATTATGATATATAAAATTAAGCCAATATCTGAACTAGACATCCAGAGTCAACTTATAGGGAATATGGGCGGCATAATGAATGAATGAATAAATAAATGAAAGAGAGAGA